TTGGCTGGAATTGCTTCCCAACATCTTTGCATTAAATCTATTAGTTTAGGGTGCCCTTGCTTTGGAAGTTCCGGGCGTAACCCCTGAAAGGATGTAAATCACTGTTGGGTCAGACACAATGACACACTCCTTGTTGAATACCAACTGAAATGTAGAATCCCAGTGCACTCCTGATCGATAATATATTAGATTTAGTCATTTTCATTTCAAAGTTCACAAAGGCATAGCCCAAGAAAAGATGCGCTTCAATGAGGGCAAAAACAATAAATTAATTGTTGCTTTTCCAGAGTTGATTTAGTGTAGTCATGCAGATTCACGTCAATAAGAGGGTTCAATTGTATTGCTAAACTTTATGATCAAACATTCAAGTTTTATATTTGAACAGAGAGAGCAAACCTGTCTCACGCCTAGGGCAGCTTGTAGTGGAGTCATGGCATCATATGGTACCTGAAATACCATACATGACCATATTCTGTTTTTAGTAGTCTCCTTGATGTCAAAAATCAGTGTCCATGGAATGGAAGAGTAATGCAAGAGAATAAAAATTATATGACTGTAATTTACACCATACCTTTGCAGTTACTAGTTCCCACAGTACTATGGAAAAACTGAATACATCAGCTTTCTGATCATAAGGTTGATGGTTTATAACCTTGAGAGGAAATTTGTTATCAGTGAGATGGAGAAAGTAAAGCCAGAAAGAGAGAAAAATAAACATGACAGATCCGAGTTTTCAGTTTTTTAATTACTTCTGCTGTTTATTTCTGGTTTAGGGGACAGTGAGGGACAATAAAAGAAAGTAAACACCAATGATATGTTGACCCCCTATGGCTCTCTCTCCTAAATGTCTGTAATAACTTGTAAGTATTTTGGCCTCAAGTTTTCCCCGTTTATTTCTCCAGTCTAGCAGGGTGTTACCTTGGGAATGACCTTTCAAGAATTTTAGGCAAAATTTGGGGGGCCTACTATTACTTTGGAACAATTTCTCCCAATTCTATTTAAATTTTTTGGCAATTAGAAAGAAAACAATGCATAGTTGAAGTAATTCAGTGGTTTGCTTGGTGATGCCGGCACCTTAAAGTGTATATCGATCTTGCAATCATTTTTGGGATAAAGTAGCATATATGGCTTCAGAATGACCTTTTAAGAATTTTTGGCAAAAACTGGGGGCATCCAAGTACCTTGGGACAATTTCTCCTAATTCTAAGCGATTTGGTAACAAGAAAGAAAATAATGCATCATCAACAATACAGTGTTTAAGGGTTCCGCAGTTTGCTTGGTAATGCCTGCATTTTCAAGACCATATCTTCATCTTGAAACCAGTTACAGGATGAAATTATATTATACGACTTGTCTTTGAATAATTAATAGGTTTCTTAACAAGACCAATAGTAGCTCCCAGAACCCTACGCTTTAATGAGCACGCATCAAGCACCTATTGATATACTGAAATATCAAAAAGCAATCATAATGTCATCTCTAGAAAACAAACCTCCGGAGCCATCCATCTGTATGTTCCAGTTTCTGCAGTCATCACTCCCCCCTGATTCAGGAACCGAGCTACTCCAAAATCTGCTACTTTAACAACCTTGCAGGGAAGAAAAAGAATATTTCAAATGATCAGTTTTAACAGTGTATTCAAAAAGTTAAAACAGCACATTTATATTAAAAAAAATCATATCCAAAACAGAAATGATAGTTACAATAACAAATTCTCAAACATTCAACAACAGCAGTTCTTACGCAACTATATAAGTTACTGTCCATAAATGAGTGAAAACATGGAACACTTTATTCTGAACGAGAAATGCACCAAAAATAGCAATGCTCTGTAATCAAACTAGAAATGCACTTAATAAGCACAAGTCCATAACCAAAAGAAAAGTGGAAAAAAAAAGAAGAAGAAAGAGGGAGCGCAGCATGTTGACCACAATAAATTAAATGAATGTCTTGGGCTACCATGTCAACTATTACCTCCGATCTTTAATATAAGAGCTCGTTTAACTTTTATTTTGGTCATAAATATAAGAACCCAATTCACTTTGTCTATCATATTTATCCATTTTTTCCAAGGCAGTCCTTGTAATAATGATAGTTCTAGTCAATATACTCGAGTAGTAAAGATATTTTAGAAAAAGCAATACCTGTTTATTACAAATAACTAACTTAACTAGTTTTTTTAATCTACTCAAATTAGTCAACTAACTCTTATATTAAGGACTGGAGGTAACACATCCTTTTTCTTTTTGCAAGGCTAACGAAACAGATCACATTTATTAGTTATCAACAGAACAATGGTACGGACATTTATAGGGGAGACATCCTACAAATCAGGCACTCAAGTCCCGCGATTTATGTGAATTAAAGAGCAACAAATTATAGTGAAGCAGATAAGATGAAAGCAGAACCAGATAAGGAAAATTTTTACTAGATAAAACAAGGAAAGATGCTGTTGGATGACTGCATCAAAATCAGGACATAAAGTCAAGATTTCAATGAGAATAGAACTTAATGGCTATGTTCTCCAAACTCCAATAACAACAACAATAAACCTTATCCCATTAGGTAAGGTTGGCTACATGAATCACAAGATACCGTTGTGCTCTATCCATATCCAAGTTTTTTGATATGTTGTTGAGCATGAGGTCTCATTTAATGACTTTATTAAACGTTCTCCTCAGTCTTCCTCTAGCCCTTTTTATAAAACTCCAAATTGTCTGATCTACCCTTCTCACCGACACCTCTAATGGCCTTTTCTGCACATGCCCAAATCCCTCAAGTGATGTTCAACCATTTTCTCTTCGATAGGCGCCACACCTACTTTTGCTCTAATATTTCCATTTCAAACCTTATCTTTTCTTATATGACCATCGATCCATCTTAATATCCTCATTTCTACTACCCCAACTTTTTATCTTGTTTTTTCTTTATCACCCAACATTCATTACCATACAGTATAGTTGGTCTTATAGCAGTTTGATAGAATTCTCTAAACTCCAATAGTAACAAAAATACTTGAGAAGTCAATTTAGTTTCAATTATATATCATCAAGTGGCCAATGGAAAAATATGAATCCACAAGTAGGACATAACTGCATACATAAAATTCATCAATGTGCTTTTACAAAGTAAAACCCAATTTGGTAAGGGTAACATATTTGGTATTAAAATTTAAATTTGTCATAAGTTCTTACATCGTGGGTATCCATCAACAGATTGGCTGTCTTCAGATCCCTGTGAATTATATTGTTTCTGTGCAAATACTCCATACCCTTACAGACATCAATCGCAAACTTCAGTAGTTGAGAGAGATCGAGCATATTATGGTTTTTATGCAAGTAATCATACAGACTTCCTCCAGGCATATACTCTGCAAGCAAGGGAAAAACGATAAAATTACATCTTTATGCTTAAATTTAGCAGACTAACATTTGACGAGAAATAGATGAGGAGACCAGACATATATACATATTTCAAGGTAATAAGCAATATTCCCGAGGGCATTAAACAATCAATAGCAAAACAAAACTCAATTGGGCATGTGTTCATAAATTTGGTACAAGAATGTTCCTCTAGATAAGTTGCGTGTTCCAGCAGAAACAACGTATTTGCCAGAGAAATGAACAGAGTCAAATAACATAATTGGCCGTTAAATACAAGTTCTATTTCTTTTTTATTTATATTTGAGATTGAAATCAACTCATAGTCTCCTAGTTCAAAGAAAATCAGCATCATTTGGCGTTACCCTTCGTCAACTATATATTTTCTGTTGTGTTAATTCATCAACTTTGCGTATTGATATTCAAATAATATTAAAAGAATTCATCGTATAGTTACTCGAAACATTTCTCAACAAAAGTGGTCTGTCAATTACACAATAAATCCAAGAGTCAATATCATTTTTAGTCCCTGAAATTCTATCTCATTTTACCTTTGGTCCTTAAAATTTGAAACCAACGGCTTTGGTCCTTGAAATTTGACCTTATTTTGATTTTGATCTTTGCTTCCAGGACTACAAACATCGTTCTCAGGACCAAAAATCTTCAAGTGGACCAAACTGAAGTCAAATTTTAAGGACCAAAACCAAAATGAGATCAAATTTCAGGGACAAAAACCGCTAGTTTCAAATTTCAAGAACCAAAACGAAAGCAAAGTAAAATTTTAAGGACTAAAGATAGTATTAACCCTAAATTCAATAATTTATAACTATACATGATCTGCACCAGTGGCTTGACACACGTGCGCATGGCAATACACTTATTTTTCAATTCCTTACTATAGTAAAGAGATAGCGGAAGAGTTTTCGAACTTCTTTTATTCGTGTGTTCGTGTGTTGGAGAGGCCATGAGATCAAACTCCTGGCAGAGCCACACATCTTACTATAGATATGCCAAATGAAGTTGGGAACAATTAACGGCAGAAAGATACCTGTTACAATCCACAAATGTGGAGATTTTGTACATGCACCAATGAAACGAACAACATTTTTATGATGCACCTGCCTGCATGCAAAAGTTCGCAAGTCAGAAAATTTCCAGTGCTAGAATGTAAGGGCCGAATAAGAAAAGCTCAGAAATATACATACATATATATATATATATATGAGTTTTAGACCCAAGGGTTTTTAGCAAGGAGCATCAACAATGATTGGTATGACTCAATTTGATATCACAGTTTCCTCCTTTTTTGGGCTTAAATATTAATACAAGTTTAAGGTAAATAAATCATAATGCACTATCACCAAAAGAAAATAAATCACATTACATGGCTCACCCTTAGCACTTATTCAATATATTTCACAAAGTGAAACTAAATGCAAAATTTATTAAGGAAACACCATGATGCACCATGAATCATACACTAAAAGCAGTGTGATACTGACCTAAGAATTGCCACTTCTTGAGCAAACTCATCCTCTAAAGCATCGTTCAAATGCTCAGATCTCAAAATCTTAACAGCAACATCTTGACCCAGATAAACTCCATGATACCTGACGATGAATAACAGGGCCAATAAGAAGAACAGAGAAGTGACAAGACAACCACGAACAAAAGCTAAAAGAAATCAATTAATTCAAAGTGAAAAGGCTCAACTTACAAATCTCCACAAGATCCAGATGCTATTCTATCTCCTATTTTAAGCAGCCTCCTGTCTATTTCCCAATCACCAGATTTTGCTTCTCCTACTATCGCCTTCTCTGCAGTTGTATGGGAGTTCAAAGAACGAGACCAAGACCCCTACAGTAAGGAAGAATATCGATTACTATCTTGCAGGCCTTGATTACGTGCGAGAAAAAGGAGTTCAAAATCAGCAATATTTTTGAATCTCCTGATTCCTACTAGAACAGCAAACTGAGAGTTAAACTCTTCCTAAAGTAGAGGGGAAGAATTTCATTGTGCGCCACTACTCAAATAAATTAATTGGTTGATCTATCACAGTATGCACCACTATTCAAGTAAATCAATAATACTACTCAATGTGGGACTTAGGCATCTCATATTACCTTCCTATCCATCAGTTATTATCATCCAGCCCAATTTTTTTACCCCTTCTGATGTCACTTTTCATGAAAATTGCCCCTATTTCTCTCAACATTATCTTTGAGGGCAGATTTCAATCATAGAAAATAAGGGGAACAAATTTTGGCTCGTCTCTCGCTCAACTCACTCTCAAATAATGAACCCAGCTCATCTGCATCTTATGTTCCTTCACCAAATATAGAGCAACCAGAAAAATGCCCAAACAAAAGGCACAGAAAGCAGCCTAGAAAAATGCACCCGTAGTCTTCCAAACACAACCTATAACCAAGGACAACATGACACTTGAACCAGTGAAAACTAAACAGTTTTTACTCAAGAAAGAAAGCTTAAGGTATTGAACCAGGGGAAGCCCAATTTTTCAAGTAATGACCAAGTATCACTACATTCCTGCTGCTGTCAGAAAAGGAACTAGGGAGCGTACAAAGCATCATTATATCCTGTTTCCCATTTCGTGTCAATGTTCTTCCAGCTCACACAAATTATCTTCTTGGCCTAAAAAACCACTTTCTATGCCCACTTCTATGTCTAAGATATTGACTAAAAAGAAATGGAGGTAAGCCATTGTTGCGGAGATGAAAGCCTTGGAGGGGGAAATAACGTGAGAATTAATGGAGCTACCTTGAGGGTGAAAAAAATGACCTGGATGCAAATGGCTGTCAACCTTTAGGTTTGAAAAACTCATAAAATCTCATACTCGAGCCTCATGTTTATGAAAATTGTAAATTTACACTTTTCATTCATAAGCATATTGCAGGCAGTTTAAGCCAATAAATGTTCGAATCAAATCTTTGGAGATGTATCAATCCATAAATAGAACCGATCACTTTGTAAATACAAGGTCAGCGAGACTTCATGCACCTCACTTCTTGCAACAGCTTTCTCCATGGCCTCATACAACCCATGCGTGTCCTGAGCACAAGATTGCAAAGTCAGCAACCTTTAAAGTGAATGTAGATCCTCCATCATACAATAAATATACTAACAATGATTCTTAATATCCTACAACCTCAAATACTGGGATTGACTAATTTGTTATTTTCCCCTAAATTTGAAAAGTCTGATTAGCATGCTATTTAGCAACAGTATATGATAAAAGCCAATGTAATATGTGAGGGTATCCATGAATAGATTTTTCTCAAGGCTACAAGGCCGTAAAGGTCTTGACGGAAAAGCAAATGCCACCAAACATTTTGCAATGTACCTCTACTGGCCATCCATCCACAACAAATACATCAAGGGAGTAGCCATCCGTCGTTGAAAAAACATGTGCTTCACGGATGTTAAGTCCAATATCAGACAGCAACGCAGACAGCTGAAATAGAATCATTCATTAGAAGAAATCACATTGCTCATCAAGTATATTTCAAGGATGCACAATAAAGAATGTCCTGAGAAAGTAAAATTATGTTTTTCCATGCAAGTATATGGTTAGGCCTAAGGAAGATAAATGCGTTGTTGTTTCCAAATCAGACTCATGAAACATGCATATAAGGAGAAGTTTTGTTAGACTTGCAGATACATTCCACTGAATTATCAATAAGAAATCAATCACCCATCATAAAGAAAAGAAATAAATCGCAAACAAATAACTCAAATCAGAAGTACACAAAACTTCCCATTTGTACAATACCTATCACTAATAAATATATATCAGTTTACCATATCAAGTGCTAAAGTTGAATACCATCCAGTGGCCCTAGTAAGTAGCAACTTACGAGTTTGAGTTAAAGAAATGAGAAAAAACTGGTTCGTTATTTGATGTTTGGAGAAATAAATCAGATGAAATTTAATTTGAAACAATCAGGAAGCAACTATGTATTGCATCCGATACTATCTTTCATAAATGGACCAAACAATATAGTCATTTCACTGAAGAGAAGATACTCCCCATCACCTTTGTCAACTATAATGACTCGTTAGTAGATACATTCAAGAATCCCTCAAAGAAGACCCCGTTTCCTTCATATGTAACAAGCTTAGCATGCATTACACATACATTCCAGCTGTATCATAGCACGACGTGCATTTATCTTATTCATTATACTTTTATGCAATACTGTGCACCACCTACAGTACTACTACCATGTACAACCCTTTGTAAATGCGATGATTAATCTATGCAATATACACTTGCTACATTTCACATAAAAGGTTTCTCTCTCATTTCACTCTGATTATACGGCAAGCATCTGCAATTCTAGTCAGGATATATGATGAATCAACCAACCATGTTTGCTACAAAAATCAAAATGATAAGCTCTAATTCCTCATCAAATACCTACTGTCTTAGGTAACTGGATGTTAAACTCAACCAATCGATTATAGTGGAACAAATACAGAAATTGAACATCTATATTCATACAAGGAACACCAAAAACTTGGAATTCTAACTATTTTGAAAAATATAAATTCCAATATTGGACAAATGAGATAAATATTTCAAACATACCTGGCTTAAAAGCTTTGGCTTGTCAATGGCAGAAAATATAACTTCATGAACTGGAATACTCAGTTGCTCATGCCTGCATTTTATATTGCAATTTGAGTAATTTACCACACAAGGGCCACAAATGACAGAGATACTAAAATGTAAACAGCACTTGCCACAGGGCAAAACCCAATTTGCAGCATAGTAAGACAGACATCTTGATAAATGGTCCAACACGTCTTAATCCTGTAAATCATGTATTTCATTTTCCAAAAGCAAAGCACCATCAGGAGAGGCAGTTGCCTATGACTACAATTAACAATTTCAGTTTATCAGTGCCTTTAACTAGAAGGCTAATCATCATAACTTGCTTATATAAAAAATAAAAAGAGTAATTTAAATGTCACAAGTGCAGAGGAAACAAAGTCATTCACACATTTCCTATTATACCCTTTCATAAACCATATATGATTAAGAAAACAAACAGGAAGGCATTGGTTTACAAAATAGAAATCATGACAAAGTTCATCAACCAGTCCTCCCCAGTTAATTGAGCCTCAAGCAGACCACTGCACATGCCACCATGGTGAACCTCCATCAAATCCCATGGCGGCACACGAGAACGCATGACACTCTGGCAATGTTCAACCCAGAATGTGTCACCAGTAGTTGTAGAGGCCAGTTCAAGTGTCTTCCAACTTAGTTTAAGCCTTAACAGCAGTGTTACTCTTGAAGGTGCTATTTTGTGTTTCTTTTAACAGCCTTTAAAAGCTCTGTTCACTGCCTCCACCAGTTTTGTACATTGCCTCTGTTGCTCACCGCCTCTCCCATTGTACCCATTAATTGTTTGTGTTCTGAGGCAGTGAGTAGTAAGCCCACAACAATCAGCTTTGCCCCAGTCCTTGACAATCACTTTAGTCCAACAGGTAATCGCCACATATTCAAGCCACACACATAGTGAACAGGAAAAATTACTTGAAATAGGGCATATGATTGACAGATTTCCCAAAGTATAAGTGGTCATATTTGAATTTCAAGGCATAAATGAAGGGATCAGTGTTGAATTTCAAGAGATAGTAAAACCTCATAGTAAGGGCAAAAAAAAGCTCTGTTGTAACCAGGTTAAATGAATATTACCACTTCTCTTCGTATATTCATTCCAGGAATTATTCCAAAAAAAAAAAAAAGGATAAAAGAATGAAATTTTAGATGATTTTTGGGATTACATCTGGGAGTAATTGTCAGTAACCTCCTTGGAGTTCTTTCCAACATCCAAATTAAGATCTTCAAGCTTAGAGCAAGGCTCAAACTCAGCTGCACAGTCTCTTGCCCTACTCATAGAAATGATATACATGATATTAAGAAAAGCCAGAAATGATAATGGATAATTATTAAAAAAAAATATACATATGAAACCTACAGCTGCCTAAAAAATCATCATTAAGAGTTGATGTGGTATTAATAAAACAATGACAGGTAAACTGCTTGCCTTTTATGAGATGATTCAGCTTCCCCATTAGATGCGGGAGAAGATGGCCTTATGCTAGAATGAGCACTTATAATTTGTTGATCTCGATCATCCATTCTAGTAGAAATGTGCTGCCAACCATTTTGAAGGATAAGAAAAATGAAAATTAAACATAGCCATTGAAGGCAGAAAAAAATCTGACAGAAGCTAGAAGAAAAGGAATCACTAATTGTAGAGTATAATGTGTTTAATGTATAGAGACCTCAGACAAGGAAATTAAATCTAGAATTGACATTTTTAGGCCAAAAAAGAGCATATTATTAGTTAGTAGGATATTAAATTTAGAAACAATGTCCTCCAAAACCAAGTATGAAAGCATAGTAGGAGAACATTACAAAATATTGATGACAAAGGTTTTATATGATCAGATTCAAAAGTAAAAAGTTCATATCATATTACAATTATAAGCCTTGTAAAGAGTCCCACATTGGGAGCCGAAGGTAATCTATGTGGCACTTAAGGGGATTGTTCTTTCTATTACAAGCTGCTTTTAAGGGCTAGTTCCCCCGGCTTGCTTAGGTCTCCACCAATTAGCACAAGGGCTAGGACCAGTCTCTGAAAAAGTTTGCTTGTGGAGAGAACGTCATGGTCATAGCATGAGGAAAGTGCAATGCAACGCCAAGAACTTGCTAGCTGACGTGAGCACCCAGATTTTGGGAGCCAAATTGAGAGGGGAAGCAAATAAGGACGAGTTCACCTTTACCAGCCAGATTCAAGGACAAATACTCAGCCACTAAGTCTAAGTCTGAATCCATATCGCTCTCCCCTCTCTTTTTCTTTTGCACTTTGTAAAGAGAATATCACGTCCTCAAACTCTTCTAAAGTTCTCTATGAATAAAAAGTAGAAGAACGCAAGGGTGCAAAAAAGAATGGCATCTGCATAATTCCAAGCTTCAATCCTATGGCATAACTTATCCTTCATTATCGTATGGAATAAAATTGTCCAGTAGTTCATGACATTACAATTACCGAAGTCTCCCCGATTACCTAAGTCTCTCCAAACCACATCTTGAATATATATATTAAAACAAAACAAAAGAGGTACCTCCAAAAAGCGTATATTGTAGACAGGGCGCTTGCTTGGGTCCCTTGCCAAGGCAAGAAGTTTCTGATGTAATAAAACATCTTCAGCTCTGTCTATGTTAACATCAAGCAAATAACTGAAACGACAGCAGATTCCATGCATCAGTCTTAGTTATCAGTACAACTATATCTTATCACATTAAGCATACAACTTAAATTACCAAACCTTCGCAACACAGACCAAATAGAACATTTAGAACCAACACATGAGAAGTCTATATCATCGTTCAACACTGAACTGCAACGCTCCACTCTATGCTATTCTCACGAGAGAGCAGCGGGGAAAATCAATGCCAACACGTTAAGCGATATGAAATGTTAGCTGTGTAAATATATTAATACTTATAGTCTATAAGCATAAAAATATCAAAATGTTCACCGACTTCTGTTTTCAGTCAGTAACTTGGGATTGACCGGCCTCTTGAACATGAAAAGAAAGATAAAAATTACTAATTACAGCACACAGGAATGAAGAGATGAAACCGATAATGTTGATAATGCTTTCAACAAATCCAAAATAACAAGTTCATTGTCAGTGTGTCCTTTGATACCGTTTAAATAAAAGGGAATCAAGGGAATAACATGATATCAAATTATTTTGATGAAATCACCTATGACGAACTCAATTTAGCGTATTTAAGTCCATAACACTTCAAAGACTTACATAAACGCTTGCCAGTGACCAGGAAAAAAAGCTACAGAACAAAAACCAAATGCAAATATCCAAAAATAGCAACTTGACAACAGAAAGTAAATTGCAATTAAGTAGCTGTACCTCGGAGGCAATCGGTTGAAGTGAGCGTCTAGCTGCTCACGAAATTCCGCCTCTTGGCCATGGCCGTTTTCTACTAAACGATTGTAAACATCGTTCCTCACATCATAGTTGCCGAAGCCACTCAAGGTGCGCGGTGGAGAGGAGCTCTCCCCTACACCTTCGACGAAGAAATCCATTGCAGTCTCCCTCCCTCCCTGTGGTTGTCGAAAGAGAGGGAAATAAAAGAGAAAAATGCGAGAAAGCAGGGCAAATAGCAGTAAGGATCTTTGACCAAGGCTGGAAACGGGAAAAAGTTTCGAGATTTCAACGAAAATGGAGGGCAATTTCGTCCACCACGGCCGTACCGCCTAGTCCCAGAAGGTCAACATAGTACACAGACAGAGGAGAGGAGAGGAGAGGAGAGGAAGCCAGGTCCAGAGCTACGCAGAAGTCCAAAAACGTAAAAATCTTTTCTTTTCAGGAAATTGCAATGCTTATTCTCATTTATTGGGAGCACGGTGGACTTTAACGTAAGTATTGGGGTCTACGGAATAAAATGACAAACAACAGTAAATGCAAAAACTTTGACAAAAATACAGTGAACCTTTCAAAAAGAAAAACAACGGCAAAAACATGGAATCTCTTTTATTTTTAACGTGAAAACATGGAATCTCTTTTAGGCTCATGCGTTTTTCCGTATATTACATCCCGTGTGACATGCATAGATCGTTAACTTTCTGTTTAGTTGGGAATAAGAATGAAGAGAATAGAGGAGAAAAGATTTTCATCAGTCCACTTTAATAAAAATAAGATGCGAGAATCGTTAGTGAGTAAAATCAATTAGAATTCTCCAACCATGCACAGTTCTCTGTTTTTAAATTGAAATTGTTAAAATTCCTGCTTTCCTCCCCCGTCCCTTCCAATTAAATAGGAGGTTATTGACTTGATAATTTTACACCGTTTAGAAAATACACAAAATAGATTACGTGGGTAATTATTATAAATAAATAATAAATAATTATAACAATGAAAGTATAAATAATTGTAGATGATAAGCCTAAGAATTGGAGATAATTACGAAAACTGCATCCTGTTCCCAGAACGGGATAGCAGGTGGAAGAAAAGGTCGTTAATGATGAAGATGGGTCCCGCAAAAGGCATGTAATTGTAAACTATCAAGAAGAAGATTCCCTATTTAAAATTTAAAAAAAAAAAAAAAGGGTTTAGATAAAGTAACCGGAAAGTGGGGGAGGAGGCTCATGACAGCCACTTGATCAAACAATTTCACCACGTGCCGCGTTGTCACACCACGTGGCGATCCCTCATGTCCTTGAAATGACGTGTCCTCTGGTGCTTCGCCAGCTGTCAACAGTCTATCATCCCAAATCCAGCCACCTGATACACTTGAAGCCATTTATTTATACTATTCCTAAAGGCTCTTCCAGCTTCTCCCTTTTCACCCATAGCAAAATGGTTTAAACTCTGCTCATTAGATTCTATCCAATTTTCACCGTTCACACTACTCGAATTTTTTACAATCGAATATCTTCTATTTAGTATTTTCATTTATTCATATTGCAAGCATTATGATGCAGGTCTTTTTACAAGATGAACTTCTTATGTCTAAAAATTGGGCTTCGAGCCCGAATGTATTTATGTGCTGGTGAAATATGAAGTGTGACAAAATAAAATGTTACTACCTTCAAACCTTGATATAAAAATTAATTTGATTTTCAATTTAATTCTAAATATAAGATTTTAGTCTACTTTATTTCTAATATTTATTTTCTTTTTTTTAAATAGTATTTGTAGTAGTTATAATATATATGTTAAAAATTTCATCCAATAATAATTCTAGTTAATATATATATTAACAAGAGTACTCTGAAGAAGATAACATCTATTTGTTACAAATAATCAACTTAGCAAGTTTTTCTTAATTTACTCAAATAAGTCAATCAGCTCTCATATTGAGAATAAAGAGTAATATTACCTCCGGTCTTTAATATAAGACTTCATTTTACTTTTATTTTAATCCTAAATATAAGACCCCAATCCACTTTGTCTCCAATATTTATGCTTTTTTTTTTAAGATAGTCCTTCTAATAATGGTAGTTCTAGCCAATACACTTGATTAACAAGGATATTTTAGGAAAAACAATACATATTTATGACAAATAACTAACTTAATTTCTTTCCTTAATTTTCTCAAATTAGTCAACTAGCTCTTATAATTAAGACCGGAGGTAGTATTATCCCTAAAGTCTCTCCCAACTAATGCCAATTCGAACACAAAGCATGTTTCCACGTCTGCACTTCATATCAAATAAAATGTCTAATATACACGATCAACATGCTAATGGGTGTTTTTACCCCTCTAAACACTTTATGCTGTCAGATGGCAATGAGAAGAAACACCCACTTTTTGCTCTTTAACCTTACTACAGACCTTTAACCACATCAAGAGATATCATTAATTAAAAAAGAGATAATGTAGGATTACCAAGTACAAATCCTGTAAATATACTTCATCAAATAGAAATGTGTTGTGGTATTAATTCTCTGCAGCAAAAGTTGCCATCCTTAAATTAATGAATGCGGCAAAATTCGTAAATCCAAAGCACTGCAGTTGAAGTGAAATCCAATTAGAGAGAAGAGCAAACGAACACCAAACACCTTAAGCTGCAAGCAGGAAACGCAAACAAATCATTCCAATCAGCCAGATCAACAACGTTTCGTATCACAATTCCGTAATCACACTTGAGCTTGATGATATCCACTTTGATATTAATCCGCACAAACGTAAAAGGTGTTTGGCAACCCTAAGAAGTACTGTTCCACAAAACGAGACAAATTCTTTTATATAGTGCACAGACCTTGACTTGAAGTCGAGCTTGATCAGAAGGCAACCATGGCTGTTTCCCAGTTTCAGCAAAGTAACTCCAGGGTTGATTTCATCGTCATGATCTTCTTCTTGAGCCATTGATCACTCCACGTAAAACCCAACAACATTCACATTATTGGTAATTTCACGGCGTCGCATATGCTTTTTACAGAGATAAAGGACTTGGCGAAGGTTTGGAGGCAGACAAAACCTGGGTTTCAACCTTGGAACCATCAGGCATCGTGTAGCCTGGTTGCTCTCCTGCCGAGTGACCCATATCTCGTCACGGGCTGATATTACCAGCCCTAGTTTTCATAATGCTGATGCATGAGTTCATCTAATTCATTAGCACAAATAAATACGCACAATGAATTTGGACATGGATATATATGAATCAAAAAAGTTTTATTTTTTATTACAAAAAAATTATTTTTTATTTAAACCGATCACATTTGAATATTGCTAGCTAGTCATGAATCGAGAGAAATTTGAAATATTTAAATCAGATTGTGATGAATTAAATTTATTTTCATATTTTATAATTTTGAAGCTTTATTTCATGTGAAAGTTGAGACCGAAATGGTGCAGATTATCGATAAGATGAAAAAAGATCTTGACTCGGCAATTTTATGATCCGATTTTACGTATCGTTGCAATTGTGATCCATCATAAAAGCAACGTTAATATGAGCAAATACTAATCATATCACGAGAGATTATGTTGATTTTGTAAGTAAGGTATAATTATTAATTTACAATAGGGCAACCCTAATAATAATATTCTTTAAGAAAGGAAGAGAAGAAAGTAAGGGTAAAGTATGTATTATTTCCTATTTTAAATATAAAACTTTAATTTATCTTGTCTCCTAAATATATAATTTTTTCTAAAGTATCCTTATTACACACAGTAAAAATAATAGAGGGTCTATAAAAGGATAGTTACAATACACATTATTAGAAAGTGTATTCTTAAAAAAGTTAATATATATTTATTATAAATAACTAATTTAACTAATATTTGTAATGTCCAAGATTAATTATCTAATTCTTTTTTTTAGTGAAAATTATCTATTATATTAAATATTAAAAATAATATTGAGTAATGGGGGTATCAGGGGATTTTTTTTCCCCGCTTTCGTTACACGGTGGGGGATCACATTATTCCTGACATCAAATGATCGAATCGTCAAACCCAATAAGCCAATCGTTTAAAGTGTGAATATTTGACCAAAAAAAGGGGATAGTGTGAATAAATTAAACAATTTATTAGACCCTAAAGGTGAACTCGGAAAAGAAAATTTAATAATTTTTCAAATTTTCTAAATTAAATTATAAAAAAAAATTAACTGAAGTTTCCAGAAATTTATTTATAATAAATATGACTAAAAAGAGTATAGCATATTTTATTTAAAAAAATAAATCGAAATATGAACTCTGAATTAAGCCCAATTCATGATTGGGCCTTCGGGCTTTGATTCAAAAAGGGCTTAAGTCATTTCCGACCTACTGTTGGTTCTTCTTCGACCTTTCGTGAACTGAAATCAGCCATAATGGCCGTGGCTTGGCATCTGGCAAAATATATTCGAGGTAATTTTAGTCATTTAATTAATTCTATATTATTTAATAAAATATAATGAACAATTTATTTCCATCATTTGCATGACCAAAAAAAAAAAAACTTTGTTGACCCAGAAGGGAAGAAAAAACAGAAACGAGTTGTCGGTTCAAAGATTCTCGAAACTCGCATCTAACAAAAGAAAATTGCATAATAAATGCCTTTCAAAAAATCATGCCAGCCCCCATTTATTAATCTTCCACGCATGTATTTACTTTATTAGAAGAATGGGCACCCACGTTGCTGAGAAGTGTATAAAGATAAAAGAAATACTCCCTCCGTTCCTTATTATAAGAGACGAATAACCGAATTACGTTAATCAAAAAAACAGTTAAAATTAATTAAGAACAATTAATGTGTAAAAAATATAATTTTTTTTCCAAAAATACCCTCATTAATAAGGAGAGAGAGCATGAGAGAGAACAATAGTAAATTCTTAAAAGAAAGAGAAGTGGAAAGGAGAGAGAGTGTGAGTTGGAGACAATAAATATGGGTAAAATAGGAAATTAACACAAAAAAGTAGAGACAACTTTTAAGTGTCTCTTATATTTAGGAACATGCAATAAGCATCAAATGTCTTTTATAATAAGGACCGGAGGGAGTAGTTACTATGGTAGTAGTATTTAAAATGATTATGATATAGCCTCAATTCATTCTACTTTATTAGACACAAGGTGTGATACAGTTTTAGAGGATGAACTGGAATAAAATTTCATTCTTGAAAAAAAAAATTAATTCATCTCGTCTATTCCGTACTCAGAATAAGGAGACACACGTTACCATTTGATCTTCAATTAGAAGAGAAATTTTAAAAGATGTCATATTTATTTATTCTATTAATAACCGAGTCAGATTTAGTGCATCACAAGGAGTTGTCATAAGAGCATATTCCATGATTGTCAAAATGATAAACATAGGGTGCTCATCTTTATTTGGACTACGCAGATTGATTTTAGAT